TTCACTACATTTTTTATCTCCTATCTCCAACTGACCATCCATTCCCATCTTCAAAAGATGGGACACAGAGACAAAGAGAATCAAAGATGAGAGAAAGGCAAATGGAAGCCCTACAAAATCATTACAATCAATGCAAAAATAGGAAAAAAAATGCACAATAAACCTGGGATATTTTTCTATTTTCAATTCTTTGGCACACAGATACCCTAGCAGAAAAACTAGCCTCATTATATTCTCTTGGCAAAGTGCTACTATCACAGAAGGAGGCAGATGGCTTGATAGATAAAATTTTTCAGGTGGGACGAATATATTTGTATGTCCATTGGTAGTGGTTTACTGATAGGATTATGTTGGTACATTGCATGAAAGGGTTTTTTTATTCTGAGAGAGAAGCGATAGTGTTGTTTTTTTAAATCTGTATTTTCCCATAAAAATTTTATGGTACAATTTTCATTTAAGATTTTGTAAAGATATATTCATATATTCAGATATGTGCATAGTGTTCATAGTATACATTCTTAGCATTTATGAACAAAATCTTTAGAATTCTTCCATTTCAAAATCTGACTTCTAGCTCCTTTCCTTTTTTATTCCCACCATAAATGACTTCTACTTGCCTGATGAATTTCATTTTCAAAAGATCCATAGACTATCCTAGGTTTAATAATCATTATGTGTTAATTCTACCAATGTTCATCAGGCTAAATATAAAATATTTGTTAAATAAATGAAGGAATTAATTATTTTGGTGGGGAGTTATCTTATTGTTTTATATTAGTAACAAAAGAACCATTTGGCCTATAATTGCTTAGCAAATATCAAATAAAAATGCTACTGTAATATATATTTACATTTTTTATTTTGAAATAAATGATCTGGGAAAACAGTTGCTCAATACCAATTAGGAAGATCTTTAGATTTGAGATAATGGCAGGAAAAAGTAGGAGTTGAGAAAATCATTGCTATTAGACAAAATATCTGGATTAATTTTATTCAATTTGTAAAGCAAGTAGCATTACATTTATGGTCTCTGGCTGTAAAGACACCAAAAATGCTTTAAAAATGTTTATGTGAATGCCCAAGGTTCTGTCCATGCTTAAGACAGGCCTCAGACTCCAAAGCAATGGCCCCTCGCTGTCAAGCCTGTGCACCTGTAGGGCAGTCAGCTTCTTCACATACTGTAGAGGGGGGCAGAGATTGCCTGGGCACTGATGCTGTTCCCGTCCAGAGGACTCCCCCCGGGCCCCTGCCCTGACTCCATCTCCCTCTCCCACCCAGGACAGGATCTGATCTAGTTGGCTCTGCATTTGGCTCTGGAGCCAGGAGGGTACCAGATATCTCTAGATTACTCCTGAGTTGTGAAATGAGTTCCTAGTAGGAAAGAACTGTGGTGCAGTTTGGAATGAGATTCTCAGGCCTGGCGACACCATGCTGTGTGGATGGTGCCACCCAGTGCCAAGTGCGCCTGTTGGAAGTCAGCGGGTCTAAGGCAAGCTGGCTTCAGATATGCTGCATTCGCTCCTACATGTTTACATCATGACTGCCAATACATTTTTTACCTTAGTTCACCAAGACATAAATAATCATCTTTCTGTTTTTAAATGGTATCTTCTCAAAGCTTCTGACTACTTTTTGATTGGAAAATATTTGAGGATGCTGAAAATGTCAATTTTTGGTAAGACAAAAATGTTTTTAATAAGTAATTCTATCATGTTACCTAGTTTAAAAGTCTAAACCATCTAAAAATGCAATTTTTCCCTCTCAATTAGGGAGAGGTTTGCATCTGAGAATTGCTTATATACTGCCTCTTTTTTTCTTAACCTACCTTAATATTGATTTTTTTTTTTGGTTGTCATTTTAACCTTTGGTCTTGGTTGCTAAATTATTTTGTTTGCCATTTCGATTTTCCGCTCAAATCCAAAATACATTTATTTAATAAATTTACTTAATTACTTAATTTTAGTGTCAGTAGCTTTTCCTAGAACTGAATTTTATACAACTGCACTGTACATTCTCTACATCTATCTCAAATATCCATTCACCCATCCGCTCACCTACCCTATGACAACTCTAAACAACTGGAACCACACAGAACCTACCGTAATTTACTTGAAATACAGGTAAATCAGAAAGGGAAAAAAAAGATTTAACTGTTTACATCAAGGCTTAAAACAAATTTTCCCAGGGTTTCATTACAGTTTTCAGCTAAACTAAAGCTAAAATATGTAAAGCCGTGTGTGCACATTCGCCATTGTATCTCTGAAAGATTTTATTCTACCATTGATTAACTATCGTTTCTTCAGATAGCTTTTTTTTTTTTGTCCCCAAAGACTAATTTCTACCTTCACGTCATACCACTCCTTTCTGTGTATTTTCTAAATATATTTAGATAATTTTTACTTAACACTACCAGATCATAAACAGCACTAGGACAAAGACCCTGTTTGTGTATTTCATATATCCAGCACCTAATAGTGCTTGATATATAGTAAGTTCTCAATAAAGGTGTATTGCACTGGTGAACAGATGAGGTTGAAAGTCACTTTTACAGGTGCTAAATTATCAAGACAGAGGAGGCTGGAAAGGAGCAAGGGGGGAAAGACATGTTTTATTACTCTATTTTCTTTCTGTTTGGCATATTTTGGTAACTGTGAAGTAGCTTTTTCCTCAGTGCTACAGGTTTATAGGAAAAAATAATTCAAATGTGCAAATTGCTCTGCAGCTGTTTAACTGCAATTTGGAAAAGACAGAGGATAATAATTTAAAGTGAGATAAAGCTCTGTGAGTCAGTACTGATAGGGTACTTTTGGGCACTGCCTTGCTATCAATCCCCAGAAAGACAATGCTTCAATCAATACCTGCATTGACTGCCTGCTATGTAAAAGGCATGCTACTTGGCTATACTATGTGTATCAAAAAGTCCTACTTCAAATGAATTCTGATCTTATCAGGGAGACATAGGAATGCTAAATCAAGGGAAAGCTAACTAGAAAATAAATGAAATGATAAGCACAAGGGCAAATGACTGGCTCTGCAGGCATTCAGGGGAGGACTGACCACAGTCTTCAGGGTGATACAGAATGAAATGGGTCTAGTCCATTTCCATGGGAGGAGCCCAGGGAAACAAGTGTTCTAGATGGAAAAAAGGGTGTGGCGAAGGTGTGGAAAGGGAAAGCCACATTTGTTCAGGGAATTGAGCAGAAGAATTTGGTTAAAGCAAAAGGTTCATCCAGAGAACAACATAAAGGTAGCTCAAACGGGAAAGTGAAATGGTAACTAAAGCTGAGGAGGAGCTGAAACCAGTTTGGCTCAGTGAAAGGTCCTAGGTTCAATTCCGGTCAAGGGCATGTACATTGGTTGCAGGCACATCCCCAGTAGGGGAGTGCAAAAGGGAGCTGGTCGATGTTTCTCTCTCATCGACGTTTCTAGCTCTCTATCTCTCTCCCTTCCTCTCTGTAAAAAATCAATAAAATATACTTTTTTTTTTAAAAAAGAAGAACTGTGATCTTAAATAAGGTATATAAATATTTTTAAATTATCTCTTAAAATTAATTATTTCACAGGGAAAGGAAAGGGAGGAAGAAATTAAGCTTTCTATAGATTTACCAAATCTGCAGTAGGGGAAGTGGGGGAATGTCCTGCGCTGAGTAGGACAAAGCAGAGGTATCTGGGGAGAGGGGAGGATCAGGAAGATAAGGGGCAGCACTGTCATTACAGGAGGTTTGCCTCTTGGAGCAGGATCCCTAACAGATCCTGAAGGTATGGGGGCCAGGGGCCAGCCCGGAGCAGGGAAGTTTTAAGCAGGAAATCAGGGCACAGGCGAAAAGGGAGGCCTACTTTCCACAGGGAATGTGGAATACAAGACAAAAACCAAGACAACCACCTATTCATAAGGTCTGAGGCCACAGAACAGGCAGTTCACTATCAAGGTGGCCAAGGCCTGCCCTGGACATCTGGACTCCAGCCTGTGACAAGAACATCTATCACAGCTCACTTAGGTGTGGGAATGGCTCCTACTCCCAGGAGTCAGACTGCCTTTTCCTGCCTCTGCCTGGCTGTATCTCACCTGGCAAGTATTATTTGATTGCTTTTGCTCTTTCCGGTCTCCATTTCTCTTAATCTCAGAAAGCCACCCTCTGACATGAACTACCCAGACCAATGCCAACTAGAGTTAATGGCTTTTCCCATTTTATCACCCATTCTGCCACACCTATAACTCTTCTCATCATTTCTGAATAAAGAGATTACCTAGATAAAAGGAGATAATGTGTCCCCTGCTCCTCCTTTCTTCCCTGAAGTCAGTAAACACTGCCCTCTTGTTTCCTGGGCTCTTTCAGACACAAGGGTGTGGAGTTTCAGAAAGGAAGTGCAGAATGTCAAGCCGGAACACCTGGGCCTGAGCCCAGTTCACCAATACCTAACTGAGTGACCCTGCGCTAGGCAATGAACCAGGGACCCACTGCTTAAGGAGCTGCAGGGCTGGTGACTTTTACTTTGAAATTTAATATAATTTTTAAAAATCTCAATGTTTATTTACTTTCCTAGCATAGGTTCTGACTCACGGTAGGTTCCCAATACATGCAATCTGAATCTGAATTTCAAGCTATAGATTCTGTATGCTTATTTTTCGTGACTCTTTACATGCAGGACCACACAACTCATTTAAATCCACACCCTTCTTAAGGGACTGGATTTTGGATTCCTGCCAAGTATAATTTCTTCCAAAGCCTATAATCTCCAGAACAGTAGCTGACAACTCTGCTCTACAGTAGGAGCTCCTGAAGAACAGTTAAAAAAATAACAGCACCTGGGTCCTATGTCTGACCCACTGAATCTTTACTTCTGGAGATCCTGTTAGAATTTAGACCGAACAATAAGTGAAAAAGGAAAGGGAAAAAGAGGTAATGATGCTTCACTAAACCCAAACCAAAATAAAAAAGCTTTAGAATTATTACACCTATTGTAATAATCAGCCATAAGAGGGATTCAGAACCACTTACCTTTGTTGTTGTATACATCTAAGTAGTTTGGTGCTGAGAAAATGGTAATAAGAGAAGGGAAGCCTGTTGTCTGGCTTTTCCTGTACATGCGATACCTAAAAACAAGGAGTGTAAGTTAGAACATGTAGGAAAAAAAAAACACTATAGTATCCAACTGTAAATATGTAAACACAAAGTTAAAATCAGTTTTATCATTCAAAGAAAATTTGATTACATAACATTAAACAAACTTTTCTCTCTGAAGTTTGTTATACAACAACATCAATTCATTTCGGAGGTGAGACTAAAAGCATATACTCGGTTGTAAAAGTTTGAAATAGGTTTTCCCTAAGTCCAGCAGACATAGTGGAGGGTGGAATTCAGTGAAAATCCAGTTGCATGTGTTCAATAGAAAATAGAGGCTACTTTTTAATTTTCTACTTACCATGTTTTTCACAAGCCTGCCAATATATTTGACATCAAAAGGCTCAATAAGCAAAGCAATATTTAAATCTTTCCCACAAATAACCAGGCTGATTATTCTATTTATCTATAATATTCTGTTACAATTATGTTTCCCCTTTTTGCCCAGCCTAAGTGATTTGTTTTTCAAAGAAAGTTTAATTAAACCTTTGGGTTTTATGAATTGAAACTGTTTCTACTTCAGAATTTATTTATTATCAATCTCGTGTGGTGTCTGCAGGCCAAAGGCCATTGTTTCAGCAGGGTGATATTTAATCAATCAGTGATAAAAAAAAGAACATTTGCAAGGTCTTTGGAAATCAACCAACAATACAGTATTGGTTTTTTTCTTTTTTTGCTAAGACAAAATAGAACTCTAGTTTTCAAATAACCAAAATATACAGAAGACAGGTTCTTTCCCACCAATGTGAAAATATATTTCATGACTTCTATGCAACAGATTTCAGGAATATCAGTTTAGAAACATCCCCTATATAGCACATAACAAAATTTTATCATTCCTTGTGTATTGTGTGTCAGTTATTTCTAGCATGTCTAATTTAGTTGGGTTTTAGAAGGTGCCTCAAATATTTAGTACCAAAAATATTCGTTTGATGTGAATAGCCAGAGGAATTTATCAGATGAGATGGATTCCCCATAGTCAACCAAGGTCCCACATTTTATGAATAATAATATCCTAGTAGTCATTTGCTGACAGGGTCTTCTCATATATACTAGTTAGAACCTCAGATCAAACTCTTGGCTTCTTGAACTATATGGCCTGCTGGTTTAGCTGTCTGACTCAATAACTGCAGAGAAACCGTGGTTTTGCCTTCACAAAGGACTGAGATCTGCCCTCTCCAATTAGAACTGTACAATTTGGATACTTCATTTACATAAAAATGACCTAACCAAGAACCTTGGCAGGAATTTTCCCTATAAAAGGAGACCTCCCCTTTGTCTCAGTGAGATCGAGTTTAGGTTGCTACCTAAATCTGTGTCTTCTGGGCTACAGTTACTACTGCTGAAATAAATGCTTATTAGTTTTTATTATAGTCTAAGATTACATTTTGTTTACATCTAGAAATATTTATTCTGCTAGGGGATTGAGCTTTGTTGGGGAAGGGGAGTCAGAATGTGAAAGATAGTACCCTCCTTGATCCTAGCACCTTGAGTTTATAAACCAAGGCTGGCCATGGCATCCAATAAAAACAAAGAAATGGGATGACACAATCTCAATTGCCCCAGTGAATCAATCAACTGCTCCTTTTAAACAGAGTTGTTGATTTTAACTGATGCACTTAATATATTTTCAAATAAGCAGATGATTTCAGTGGGATTAAGTTAAGTGTGCCTCGCCTCAATTGCATGTTAAGGACAGTCAGCTGAAAAAGCATGGAGACAGTCCTGCCCTGAAAAGTGAAAAAGATTTTTTGAGGATCTGATTGGTTAGGTATAGCAACAGTTTACTTCAAACATCAGGAACAACAGCATGGAGCAGGGGATATTGCATCCGGTTATACCTGTTAACTAAATGCTTTAAAAAAAGCTAATTTTGAAAGGAACTTAGGACCTGCATGATTCAAGGTCATAACAGACATGGTGTTACTTCAGAATGCAGGCATGTACATTCCCAGTATCAGCACACAGGTCATAAAAATCACTGCTCCTCCATTTCAGGAAATTCAGAACCTGAAGAGATGAGTGTAAGCATCTGAAGGCCAACGCTGCTTTTCAGTGAGGCCTACTTGGAAGGTACTGGACTTCCAATCCTACAATTAATTATCCCGTTTTTCCCTAGTGCACATTTAATGCACCATCAAAGAGAACATCTGATATTTCTTAGTTTTCTAAACCCTTAAAATTGGCCTATATTTAAAAATTTATCAGATAATATATGGTATTTTCTGTTATAAACTGTATGATTTCCCCTACCATTTAAATGTTTCTGTTTTTGTCCATTAAAATTCTATGGGGACCAAAAGTGATTCTTTAAACAAGAGTGCAACATGCAACATCTGTTAAATATTTATTTGCAATTCTCATTCACCTTGCCAACCAAGACTGGTGATTTACTTACTTCTCGGACAGTGGTAAGAGCAGGAGTTAAAATAAGAGGAAGTGCTCTTACAGTGTTTAAAAAAAAAACAACCAGCTGAAATTGTTACCTGTTCAAGCTAAAAATAGAAGAATTTTAAAGGGGACTTGACAATACACCTGCGGCCATTCATTCCCCGGGACCTTGCCATATCTGTGACATCAGAAGACAGTTTTAAGACTGAATTCCTTCAGGGACAGAGCCTGGCCGATGGAACAGCCACAGGCTGAGCACAGCGAGGGAGTCGTGACAAAAGGGACGAGGAATGCATGCTTCCCATAAACCCGCAAGACTGCTCACCCTGCGTCCTGGGCTTCGTGGGCTCGGAGGATAGATAACAAGTTATTGTGCTGTAAGAATTCACAAACAGCCGGGTAACTGCCAGAGACAAAAAGAAAAGAGAAGCATCTGTTAGGAAATCATCAAAGGGAACAAATTTACCTGTAACGTCAGACCGATGTGATTTGATCCAGCATAAGGAAACATACATCATTCATGAAACAAGCCTCCTGGATCTCAAAGGACAGGTTTCCCCTGCGGCACAGAAAGCACCCAGAGCTGTACATTGTACATAATGAGAAAGGGCTGGAGGTGCATGAATTGGAAGAAGAAGGAAGGCTATTACATAACAACATCAGAAAAGTGCCCACTTGGAGAGAAAAATCAATATGACAAAGTCTACCTTTACACAAAATATAACATGAGGATAGAATTTAAAATATAAGCCTCAATTTTCTCAAACACAGCCCTATTTGTATTTGGATGTGTGTGTGTGTGTGTGTGTGTGTGTGTGTGTGTGTGTGGTGGGGGGTGGCAGAGGGACTAAGCACTCCACAGAGAAGACTGAGGGAGTGGAAAAAGGGGAAGCGTGGGAAATCAAGCTATCAACTTAAGTATGGTTACATTAACTGACTACATCATTCAAGATCTAACCAGAATTATGGAATTCACAAGGTTTTAAAATGTGGACCTTGCATATGTTCAATAGAACTTGATCTTAAATCTAGTTCTTTATCTTGACATAATAAAATTATCAAAATTCAATCAAGATAATACTGCCTATTAAGAAAATCTCAAAGTGAAAGATGAGAACTTCATTCAAAATGCAATTCAAGTTACAAATTAAACTCGAAAAACCTTTGCAATCACTTTGTCTCTGCTCTAGGAATTTTGAAAGAGATAAACGTATGCCATAAAAATGAATAAATTTTAGGTATTTCAAATCAAAGGACAGCAAGCCCATGCTTGTTTTCATATAAACAAAGTGAAGCTATCCACAAACTTGAACTACATATGCCATAGAAGACAATTCAGCAATCATAAAAATAGCACTTAGCAAAAATACTTAGTATAATATATGTCACTCAAATAAATTATCACAAAAGGGAAGTTGAACATAGTTTCTATGCTACAGATTTTGTAAGAATTAGCTAAGCAAAAGGAATAAAATAAGGTTAAGATGGCATACCATTGTAGAAATCCTATATGATAAAAGGCTAATTATGCAAAATGACCTGACAGCAGAATGACTGGTTGCCATAACGAACACACACTAAGCGCCAGGGACAGATGCTCAATGCAGGAGCTGCCCCCTGGTGGTCAGTGCACTCCCAAGTTGGGCTCATGGCTGGCGAGCACAGTGGTGGTGGTGGTGGCAGGAGCCTCTCCCATCTCCATGGCAGTGCTAAGGTTGTCTGACTGCTGGCTAGGAGCAGGCCTAAGGACTTCCGGCCTGAGGAACCCCTCTGGGTGTAAGAATTTCATGTGCTGGGTCTCTAGTCTCTAGTACTGATTATAAAAAAGGTGCCAGTATTTGGTAAAAGTAGGTTCTGAACCCAAAAAATAGTCTTTTGCATGTGTATACACACACACACACACACACACACACACACACACACACACACACACGGAAGATTCTAAATGTTCCTTCCCTTTCTTTATGCTGTTTACTTATATTTCATAATGCTTCTTTTAAAAGGCAGTTTATTGCCCTGTTATCTTGTAGACAGAGGTTGTTTGTTTAGGTTTCTCACTTTTTGCCCTTGGGAAAATGGCTTGGCTGCTCTTTATTTCACTCCTTCCCTTTTGGAAGAACTTACACTAGTCTCTACCGGTAGATGTTATATTTATGAGTTGCAACTTATGTTAGATCTTAAAGGAAATGATGTACAGAGATTAGTAGATAGGAAGTGGTTAGAATGCCAGCAAGAGAAGAAGAGGGACAGGAAGCGGACTGAGCATGAACAAAGAGGAAGAAGGTAGAGAGACAAATGTGAAATATGGTAGACAAAATGACTCAGCACTAGATGAAATAGCTGCTATTACATGCATTCCATTTATACTCTTATTTTTGTTTCTGGCAATATGAAATTATATTTTAGACTTTGATTTCAACCCCCAAGACTTTGAGCTCTTTAACCATGATATAGCCAGCAGACACTATTTTAATGCTTTTTTAATGCTTTTATGTCCTTACATACTTTTCCTTCTTGAGTGACATACTCTCCTGCCAAGCCTTAGCTATATCATCACTTGTGAACCCTTCCCTTCAAACCTACCTTACCCCGAAGAGTACAAAACTGAGGCAGCCACCATGTTTCCATCACCTGCTATGTAAATTATTGCATACATCTGCCCTCCAGCAGCAGTGAATGCCTTAAAAGACCCACCGTTTTGTTTCCATACCCTAAATGCTTAGCAGCCATTTGCCCGCTCACTGGAGCTCACAGTTAATTTCTGGAGTTGCCTCAACAGAAGCAATTAAGCAGGTGAGAGAAGCAGTTTATTTCCCTCTTTGATTCCAGCAAAGCTGAGGCAGGTAACCTGCCACCTTCACCCTCTGACGTCCAGCCCAGCAGGACAGAGGACTCTGCCTGACTGTCCGGCTCCTCCTCCACCTCCGAGGCCTGGCAATGGGGATTCAGCCCTGGGGGTTCCAGCGTTGCCCAGATACTGTTCGGCTGATGTTTTCCTAGGACTTGCTCTGTTATTTGCTTTGCCCCAGGGTTCTCCAACTAATTTCATTTTATCCGCCAGGGATCCAGTCAGGAAGGGCTCCGATGTTTCCTGCCAGAGCTGCACCAGGGCCTGAGTCCTCACTTGCACCTGGCTGCCAGCTGCCTCAGGAGCAGTGAGCACTTTTTACTTAAGGCAAACTTTTTATTGCAGTGCAACATCTATACAGAAAACTGCACAAAGTGGATGGTTACACACTGGCGGCCTTTCCAAAGTGAAAAATCTTTGCAACTAGCACTCAGATCAAGACGCAGAAAGTTTCCTAAACCCAGCAACTTTCTGTATCTCCTCTGAGTCACTATCACCTCCTCACTGAGGGTAACCACCATGCTGGCATTTAACAGTATATGGCGTAGCTTCTCCAACCTGAAACTCTTATTTCAATGGGATCATCTAGGCTGTACTCTGTAGTATCTGCCTTCATCCACGCATCATTATACTTGTGACATGCATACATGTTGTTATGTGCAGCTTTAACTCATCTTCATTTGCTGTATTTAGTTATTTAAATATGCTATAATTTATTATTCATTCTATTAAGTGGGCATTTGGGTTGTTTTCATTTTTTGGCTATTAAAGTATTGCTGCTATGAACAATCAGGTATTTTGGTACACATATGCATACAATTCCAGCAGATAATCAAATAGGAGTGGAATAGGTTAGTTATATAAATATTCTACCTTAGTGTATACTAAACCTGTTAACTGTAACTTGGGATTAGAGACCATTCAGGTGGGCATCCTTCTAGAATTCATAGTATTATTGCCCTCTAATTTTCATAAATACCAATTCCTTTGCTTGCAAGAACCTAACCTTCCCTAGTATCTCTGGTTGGATATGTTCTATGTAACACATAAAATTTACATTTAATATCAGTCCTACCATGATCAGTCCCTTAAACTCTAATCCATACCTGTTTGGGTTAGGTAACCTGTTTTGTGTATGTGTCTCTGTGTGTGTGTGTGTGTGTGTGTGTGTGTGTGTGTGTGTGTGCGCGCGCACGCGCGCGCTGCTGTAATGACTGTCAAATGATGAATGAAGGAACAAATTCTCAGAAGATACCCATGAATTGAACAGTATGAATTGAGGGGAGGGAGATGAAGGATTTGTATAATCAGGTGTGATTTCATCAGACTAAAATTGAAGGCTTTGAAATTAGAGTGGGAGGGAGGGAAGGCAAGATGGTCCAGATTCCTATAAAGGAATATTATAAAAAGGGTCAATAAAATGTGTTGATTGGTGGTGATTTCAATACAAGAAGAAAGGAAAATATATTCACTAACCTGCATGACTGTTAGGATGCACTGTTAACAAAAACAAAAGACAGGAGGATTCTCTAGTGGGGCTTACGCAAGTGAGAAAGTAAATAATAAGCTTTTCCAGGCAAGGTGAATTTAAGTAAAGGTGACAATGGAACATCTGAAATTAAAAAAAATTCCAACAGACAACTAGAAATGGAGTGGTCGAGCTCAGAAAAAATAGAGATGAAGGGGGTAGATGTAGATCTTGTAGTCAAGCCACAGAGGTTACAGTGAAACTAAGGGAACAGGTGAGGTTCCTGAAAAAATGTGAAGAAAACAATGTCAAAAGCAGGAGGAATACCAAGAAAGAGGCAGCAGAAGAGGCAAGAACAGGATTTAAGGGAGAGCCAAGATTTGTGGAAAAGGAGGAGCCAGAGCATTTCAAGGTGGAGGGTTGATAGGTGTCAGTTGCAGAAGAGAAGTTAAAGGCTGATGAACAGACTGGTAGTTGAGTTAACTGTACTTGGCAACTTCAAAAACACTTTTAAAACAACTGTTACATTCTTCTTCAAATCTTAGAACTTTAGATGTCTGATGTAACTCACTTCTTTTAAAGGCAGCTAAACCTAGAGCACAGAGCTTATGTGATTCATCCAAGGCAGACATACAAACTGACAACCCAAGATCCTAATCCAGCCAACAGTTTTGTTGGGACCACATGAAAATGAAATTTTACTTCCAATTTGTCACAATCCTCATTAATCTTTACAATGGAACACTTGGCCTGCTTCAAGTGTCTCAGTTACCTGCCTCACAATTTTAGGCATTAGCATATGCAATCTTGGGTGTAAGGCTATAAAGATAATAGTAACACTTAGGCAAAAATAATGTTTTCATAGGTTCTTTTCTCTCTGTTACTTTGCCTATTTTCTATAACTCAACAGCATTGAAATAATTCTACTGATGCATTTTTATGTATAATTTCCTTTTATTTAAATCATTGCCCAAGCAATGTGTAGCTCATAAGTAGGGTGGGATGGAAAATTAAATATGCAAATTTAATATAAACATGTGAACAATAACTAGGAGTTGTGAATCCAGATCAGTGCCAATCACTCAGAAAGGTAATTGTCACCAAGTTTCTCCACCGATTTTTCTGTTAATCCTCACATGAGGATATTTTTCCATTGATTTTTTAGAGGGAATGGAAGACAGAGAAATATCCTTGAGAGAGAGACTCATTGATTAGTTGTCTTCACACACTCCCCAAGGTACATGCCCTGCAACTTTGACTGGAATTGAACCAGGGACGCTTCGGTCCATAGGCCAATGCTCTTTCCACTGAGCCAAACCAGCTAGGGCTCTACTATTTTGTTGTTGTTGTTGTTCCCTTTGTCCCTCTAGGTCAGCTTTATAAACCAAGACTACAAAGAATGCCTTGTCACCTTCATGATGGCACTGAAATCAGAAGGATCAACAAGCTCTAGGAGAATGAGCCATTTTTCTCTTTCTTAGATAAATATAACCCAGATGGCTATACCATTAGTCAGTCTATAGGCTGTGAATTTAGATATTCAGTGTTTGTTATGGCTAAAGAGCTATTAACAACCTTTAATGAGAGGAGTTAAATAATCATTTTGTTGAGAACAAAAGTGTGAAAACATGCATAATCCTCTCTCTAGCTGATAGCCTTTTTCTCTGATGTAAACACATCTGTGTCGGTATTCACAAAATAAAAACACCAGAACTTATGTAAGTTCAGTACAAGACTTTATATTTAGAGTATGGTTTATTTTAAAAGCTGACTCAGAAAGCTAATAAAAGAGGTCAGATTTGAATTAAAGAATGATTACTGCAATATGGCTTAATATCAAAATTAAGAGGCTTAGATTTTATTTGACATTATATTACTGAAGCACAATTCTATGGTATCCAACAGGTAATTTAAATCCCCACTTGTATACTCAGGGATTCAACACCAGATGTAAAAATTGAACACTTGGCTTTGATATATTCCTCCAATATTTAAATTTTCACTAAAAAGCTTGAACATCTTTACTAAAAGATCACTCCCAAATTAACTACCGTAATTACTGAAAAGAAACCTTAAGCTTCTTAGAAATCCTACACCACTCGTCTTTATTTCAGCCAAAATAGCCTCATTAGACTCAGATGTCCAAATTCCCAAAACAAATAAACAAATTGTAAACTTTCTGGTAAATATGCTTGGAACAAACCTCTTTATTAATATTCCTATCAAAACTATTATTTGATTAATGCTTTACAGTGTACAAGACTTTCTACTCACAAACTTCAATTTCCCAATCATATCAAAAGAAAACTATTTCTTCCCCATAAGGAAAACCTAGTGTATGAAACAACATGTCCTGCCATGGAATAAACGCTGATCAATGTTATGCAGAAGGATATCTGCTTACTCTAGAGACAGGTGGTATGTGGCCCCAAACCCATGACAGAATGCTCTCAACCTTGCCATTTGCCGAGCTGCCGGTGTTGGAATTGAGCATAAACTTCAGTGAACATCAGTTTGGTTTTTAAGGATTTTTAAAAAGACTATTCTAGAACTTAAAATTCTCAATTCCATGATCTCTTTCTCTCTTTCAAATGAACTGTATGTCTGATGATAAGGGAACCTACAGAAATGGAGGGTAATCAAATGCAGTAGGCTGAAATTGACATGAGATGTCAGGAAAATCATGGAGATATGCAAAAACGCAACTGTGTTGTTTTCTTCTCTGAAATGTTATGGAATGGGCAAATTCCCATACTCTGGCAAATATAAAAATGTAAAAATTACTATAAAATTTTTCAGTGTGACTTGTCTACGTGCTAACAATAAATTTACATATGGCATGAAATATCTGCTAATGTTAATTTAGCCAAGAACTCTGATAAAGTTAAGAATAACTCCAATATAATTTAATTAAGCAACTTAAAGATTTTTTTTTCTGATTTAACTTTTAAAAACTGATTATAAAATTTTAAAAGTATTATATAATTGAGTGAAAAAGTAAATGCTGGCATTGGATATTTTTCTAGTTTTTGAAACAAATTTTCTACTACCAGTTAAGTCCTAGTTACTGTCTTCTTCAGCTAATTTGCCACCCTGATATCACATGCCTCTTTATGCCTTTTCTATTCTTCACAGATATTATTATATCTATATAACTTCAGTAGATATATTTCATTTCTTATCTATTTATTTATATCTTTATTTTGCAAGTGCTAAATACTCATCTAAACCAGGCTTTCAAAGTGACCCTTTCATTTATAGTTGTTTCCTAGAGAACATATGTAAACATCCTAAATAAATCACAGGCGTGGACTGATACATAACAAATGTGTGAAGGGCATGTGCTCTGGCAGGAAGTCACGCACTCTCACCTGTAGAAGTACGAACACCCCCTGACTGTGTTGTGAGTGAAATGTTCCTGAGTCTTCTCATTGCCGAAGTCCTCCAGGGGGTCTGACCACAGGATGTCGCACATAGGTCCATAAGCAGGTGGTTCTTTGAATCGGTCTAACTAAGAAAAATAGAAGACAGAGAGCAAAATACTAATCTTTGGAAACTGGGAATTCAGCAAGTAAAAGAGACCAGAAATTTGCAATATCCAACTTCCTCTCCCCAAACAGAGAGCTAGTAGCTGCCTCTCTCTCCCCCTGTCAGTCCCGTTCCTCCTTGGTCCTCCGGTTCTTCTACTCTCCATCTCTCTCTCCAATTGTCCGTCCTTCCTCCTCCTCAAGAGCTCATTCATCTGCCTTCCTCTCATCTTATACCTCCCTCCTGCCTCTTTAATTTATAACTCTTTACTCTTTTTCTCTCCCTTTCTCCCATTCTCCCTTTTATCTTTCTCTTTCCCCCTAACTTATCTACCTTAATGTTTTAGTCACTATCAGTTGATATGACTCTGTATGTGTTCCATTTCCTGAGGTAGAGCTTCTATTTTATTTTATCTTTGGGAAAATTTCTATTACTGTTTCCATTAAGATGTGATTTAGAAATTTGGATAAAGATAATTTATGGTGTTTGTATCTAACAATATGATTTGGAGAACAGGCAGCTTTCATTTTAAGAGGAGCACTTGCTATATGACATTTTGGATATTCATTCATTAGAGGCTCTCTAGGTATTTAATTAATCTACAAGCCTATTATAGTTTATCTTACTGGTTACAAACCAAGAGTAATGATAATCAGTAAAATAAATCCAACTTGAAAATTTAGCTGTTTTTTCTTCTGCTCAGTTCTAAACTCTGGAGTTTTACTTGAAGCCCTTCATATGAAATCCATTCCAGCTATAAATATTTAGCAAAGTCATATTTCAATTTTAAAAGCTGCACTTAGAATGTATGAGCAATACAACTACAAATGACATTTTGCCAACCATTTTATAACCCTGTCACTTTCCTTTGATTTATATTGATTTAACCACAATTAAAGGGTTTTTAGTAAAGTTAGCAGATATTATAGTCTCTTGAAAAAAATGCATAAAATCATTAAGGATTGATATTCTCTATAGTCAATAATTTAACATTAAAAAATACCCATAGGGATGGGGGATAGGTGAATATATAAGGCTGACAGCCAATCAAATTTTCATTTTTTTCCTGAGACATAAAAGGTGATGTAAATCATGGTTTTGCTGCACACCATTTTTTTTATTAATATCTAAAAAGAATGAAGCAATATTTCACATTTTCAATACCCAATAAAAAACTTTAAGCAAGACCCCTATATTTGAACCATTATGTTATGCATAAAACATGCATTGCAAACTTAGACTTGTTTAAGAGATCTAAATAATGCATGCCTTTGGAACAATTCATTCTAGAAAAATAAATACTTGCCCATAAAAATGGGAAATTTCTTTCTGAGAAACAATGACTTATTATTAGGGGCAGAACAGCCCAGGAGGAGAGGCTTCGTGATGAATGTGAACCCCCAGCTGAGAGTTTGGTAAGGCAACCAGAATATAGAATTTCTTCTGGGGAAGTCACAGTGCTTTCTAAAGTTAACACTATCTACAGTAAGAATAAACTAGAAATTCATTTAATAAAGGAAGTGTGGTACTCTGATGGATACATGTCAAAATGCAAAAATCATTTTATGGCTAAGTCTAGAGCTTAATAACATACATGAGAATTGAACATAATACCTGAAACATGCCAGTCCTGGGGACAGTAGATGATATTTTAAATGTCCAGTTAATTTATGAGCTTAGTTATTTATTTCAGGAGCCCATTAAATTACAGAACAAATCAGGTTACATTCACGCGGAAAGTAAACCACTTTATACTTGAACTCCATGACCACACCGCATTACAACTGTACGAGTGTCCTGTTTCCATAATATGTTAAAAAAGGAGCAAACACTTATACTCTATGGGCTACAGAGCACCAAAGCAGATGTATCTTTACAAAGGGACACAAATACATAAAGTGGAAAACTAAGGTTTATATGATGTACTTTTGTTTGATTTTTAAAGTAAAAATCAGGTATTTTCTTTCTAATAGAAAAGTAAATAAACTATTATTTTCACACTCGAGGTCTTCAACCTTAATGGTGGTAGAATTTGAATGCTTTAGTTCTGTAAATAGTTTTTCTTTAAAATTATGAGCTTTTAAAAGAATATTTAGCATAATCAAAGAAATAAAAGACAGCCTCTTCCACTGCATAAAATTATCCCATATTACTGTCTTTTCTCATATGAAACATACGTCCACATTCAATCTAACTCATCCTTTTGTTGCTTAAAATATTGGTGATAGCCAATGTTAAATTAAATACAAAATGACTCTTTTAAAAAATTGACTGTTTTTTTACCTAGACACTCAATGCAATCAATAGAATATTCTCATTGACTTTGTCACTTTAAACTTTTAAGCTGTAACAGATAAATTGAAGGGGGAAAAAATGAACACATTTTAAAGGGCAAGGAGTGATATTTCCCCAAGAACAAAGCAACAATTTGTAACTATAATATACCATGAATACACAATGGGTTCTGTTGGAAGGAAATCAAAAGGAAATGAAAAGATGTATTTTTAAAATTTTTTTTAGGAATAAAATATTTTACACTTCTAATAACACATGTCAAAAGGTAGAATGAATTTTAGAGATGAAAACTCTTCTAAATATAAATGTATCTTTCTTTCAAGAAAAAAAAAATTAATACCAAAAAAAAAAGGGATTAATGACCACTTTTAGTCATTTTAGTTCAAAAGGATAAAGCTGGTGATAAAAGCAGGAAGGTCAATGCCTTCTCCTTGTTACCGAAGCACACAGAGAGATCAGACTTGGAAACTAACAAAACTTACTTTTCTGATATCGTCCAACGTGTTAATCTCTGGAGACAGACCGCCATGCACGCACAGGAACTGCTGGTTCATCAGAGCAGCCAGGGGCAGGCAGTCGAAGGCATCCATACAGGCGTCGTAGACGCGTTCTGAATACTTTATTTTACCTTTTAAAACATGATTTCAAAAAACATTTACTCTCATGATTTCATAGCTAAAATCATTTCATTGAAACAAATTTTTTAAAATGTTTTCTTGCCATATTTGCATTATGGCTGCTTTTTAAAAGGTAAATCAATCACTGTTTCTTATGATAAATTGCATCAAATATTATTTCAAAGTTTTAGATCACTTTATAGAGAATTACAAGTAAAAGTAAATTCTACATTCTCTTAACTATTCATGCTTAGAGACAAATATGGAATGGCATAAAATAGTGTGTTTTGTGTGTCTTTTTTAATTTTGACTTTGAAGCAAAAGATCACATACTGAAATGTGCGATTAGTAGGGATTCAAATGACTATTCAGCACTTAAGGGTGTTAAAGGAAGAGGCTTGAAATATACTTACATTCTTGTTTAAATGTGAAATATTCTGTTAGATGTCTACATTCATGATTTCCACGAAGTAAAAACAGTGTTTTTGGGTAAAGAATTTTCAACGCCCACAAATACAGCACACACTGAGGAAAAAAATAAGAATATAAAAATATATATTGCATCATTATATTTAAGCATCCCATTGCTGACTTCAATCAAATGAGCTACTGTGACCAAAAGTCCCCAAAAGGTTAGATCTCATTAAAGAGGACACTGAAAAACATTCCTTCCATATAAAGCCAAGGTTTATGAATACCTAAAATGTATACAAACACTGAGCATCTATGGAGTACAAAAAAACTATGGACTGCACACAGTCTATTAGAAAAGTCTGCATAAAAATATACTAAAAATGACAATATAATGTTGTCAAAGTGTGACAAGAAATGTGATCAGCAATCAATGATTAAAATAAAGACACTTCTCTATAAAGCTAATTACTATTTTTTTTTAAAAAATCAGGTACAGCCCTGGCTGGTGTGGCTCAGTTGGCTGGGCAGTGAGTGTCCTGCGGCCTGGAGACTGACAGTTTGCTTGATCCCTGCTAGGGAATATGTGGGGACAGCTGATCTATGCTGCGTCTCACATTGATGCTTCTCTCTCTTCCCCTCTCTCTAAAAATCAATAAAAAAATCTTTTAAAATATAAAAGAACTGGTAGTTTTTTTTTGTTTTTTTTAAATCAGGTAAAAATGGAAAAACTGGAAAAGGCAAAACTAAATTTAGAAGCAAACACTGAAAAGCTCAGGCTGACTTGGATAATGTCTGTATTTTCCTTATGTTCCCCCTTTTACCTCCATTACCTTGTCATTTATTTTAGTGCGATTAGTATATAAAGCCTTAAGTGTTTTTATATGTAAAAATAATTAAACTGAAGGCCAAGGACTCTCACTATACGCGTTGGGTATTTCAGTCTGTGTGAAAATAAGGGCCAATTATGAAATATCTGAGTTTGGAGTAAACCTGTATTGACACTGTCTTCCTAGTGTGTGCATTAAAATAACTGGAAATCAAATAATAACATCAATTTAATTATCCTCAACGAACATTCATTAAGGACCCACAGGGATCAGAAAACCACTCTTAGAAAACAAGTATGCTGTTTTATCCTCACTAGGTTTAAGTTTTAAAATAAAGCTAAGAACTTATAGAAGCACGAACATATTGAGACAAGTCTGATTCTGGTTAATAAAATCCGAAACCAAAAAACACAAGATATTTGCATTTTAATAAAGAGCTTTCCAACATACAGTAAGAATGCTAGATTAATGTCCATAGGAAAAAGTTACTTGCAATTCATCTGTTGTGCTACCTGTGAAGAATAACCATGTCTGACACCTTATCAAATGAGTGGAAATAACTATGTTTAAATATACAAACCAAGTTTTGGAGAAAATACTAATTATAAGAAAAAGTATGTATTATTGTGCTTTTCAAGCAAGATATCATTTTTAACTATGTAATTGTGATTAAAGTAAACAGAAATAGGGGGTTGACATCAAATTATAATCATACGTATGTATACATACACATATATATTTAAATTTCTAATTACCCTTTCCTGATTATAGTTACTAGCTAAAGTTCATGTGAAAAATGATATTACTATTTCTGAGAAGTGGACCAAGTGGCTTATCCAGGTGATCTTTAAAAGATCATGATCTGTTGACATGAGTAAAAGTTCCCTGTTTTCTCAGTGAGTAGTACTGTGGCTCAGTGCATCTCAGATTACTGTGTGTCAGGTTTTATAGGTGCACTTACGTCTATATATATAAAAAGCCAGCGACCTGAATGCCGTAATGGCCAGAACAATGAGTCGCTATGATGCCCACTACAGCCAGCGAACTGACCGGATCAGGGGGTCGGACCAGTCAGCCCACCTCCCACAGCCCCATCTCCCAAGCTGGTCCCACCCCTGATTGGCTTCTCATAACCTGATGAAGGATCAGGGTCGCCTGCCCCATCCCCTAATCGGCCCTCAGCCCCTCTCCTTGGCCTGTCCCACCGTTGATCATAACTAGAGGCCCGGTCCATCAGTTGGTGCATGGGTAGGGTCCTTGTGGGTGGCCTGTAGGGATTAGGCTGAAAACTGCAGTCCAATGCCACGTGCAGCTGCTACCTGTCACTCCCGCTCATCCCAGCCCCACTGTGCCTTCTGCAGGCTCACGCCCCATCAGTCCTGATCAGGAGAGGCTCACACTGCAGCAGCAGCAGCTCTCACAAGCCATGAGCCCTGTATCTGGCACTCTTCCAAGAGAAGTGGCCAGTGGGATCAGGCTGAAACCGGCTCTCCGACATTTCCCAAGGGGTCCCAGATTGCGAGAGGGTGCAGGCCAGGCTGAGGGCCCCACTGGTGCATGACTGGGCTGGGGAGGGACTGTCGAAGGGCTCTAGGGGATGTCTGGCCCATCTCACTCAGTCCTAAATGCCCAGACCCCAGCAGCAAACTAACCTACTGGTCAGAGCATTTGCACCCCCCCCAGTGATTAGTGCACATCATAGGGAGTAGCTGAGCAGCCTTAGCATATCATTAGCATATTACACTTTGATTGGTTTGACTGTTTTGCCATTCAGTCTATTTGCATATTACCTTTTATAATATAAGATTTTTACTAACTAGGACATACACAATGTAGTACAGGTATTTTTTATGTATAATATGTATACTCCCATTAAACTATTACCCAAGTTCAGTTACATTTCAGCATATAGAAGGCTCCTTTGTGCTCTTCCCCATCTCCATCAATACTCTTTCGGAAATGTAACCACAATACTGAAATATTTAGATTAGTTTTTGCCAGTAATCACTCATTTTACGGCAAAGCTATTATTCTCCAACTAAAATCTAAAATGAAATTTTTAACCCCACTCAAATTGATCACCTTTTAGGTCCTATGTTTTCTTTTTTGTCATCTGGGACAGATCATATTTTGACATTAGCAAGTGGCTTTATCACCTCTATTCTTAATTACTGTACCTCTTCTATAACTGAAACCTCAAAGAGTGATTCAGAAATAGTCTGTGATATTCTATCATACTTATTAACTTTGAAAATTATTCAATACATAGCAAATATCCCTTGTTATTTCATGGATGTGAAACACCTAGTATATAAAAAGTTTAGAAAATATTAGCTCCTTTTTCTATAAATGTGTGAATAAGAAGATAGGAACACAGAGAACAGGGAGGGATAGAGGGAGGGAAAGAAGAAAAGATACAGATGGAGAAGAAGTAAAGAGGAAGGAGGAAGGAGGAAGGAAGGAAGGAAGGAAGGAAGGAAGGAAGGAAGGAAGGAAGGAAGGAAGGAAGGAAGGAAGGAAGGGGAAGGAATTTGAAATAAAGTATGAGAAGGAAGAGAAGGAAGGGAAAGAAGGAAAGAAAGGAAAGAAAGGGAAGGAAGGGAGGAAGGAAGGAAGGGAGGAAGGGAGGAAGGGAGGGAGGGAGGGAGGGAGGAAGGAAAGAAGGAAGGAAGGAAGGAAGGAAGGAAGGAAGGAAGGAAGGAAGGAAGGAAGGAAGGAAGGAAGGAAGGAAGGGAGGGAAAGAAAGAAAGAAAGAAAGAAAGAAAGAAAGAAAGAAAGAAAGAAAGAAAGAAAGAAAGAAAGAAAGAAAGAAAGAAAGAAAGAAAGAAAGAAAGAAAGAAAGAAAGAAAGAAAGAAAGAAAGAAAGAAAGAAAGATAGAAAGAAAGAAAGAAAGAAAAGGCAATTTCCAAATTCTTGGCTCAAAATACCTTAAAAATAAGAATCCTGTTTTCACATTTTATTTCCTTCTCCCCTGTGGCAAGAATAAAATATCTTCCCAAACACTGAATAAAACCACAAATGCAGCCAACATGGAAGAAGTGGCATGGCAAATGAAAGGGCAGGGTGGATTGGAGCATGGAGCCCTGCCAGCCCTCACCCTCAACATCTGGTGCGAGAAGGCTGCCAAGCACAACACTGTCTTGCTGGCGACTATTTTGCCTTCTAAAGTTCTAACATTCTGCAGAGCCAAAGCTCTTAAACAAAATCATAACCTGATATTATTTTAAAAAAGGAAGGTCTCTTATAAAATTATTATAATCAATAAGCAATGAAAAAATATAAACCAGCTAAATAACTGGGTATATTCTTCTATGTGGTATCAGATGGCTAAGTGGAGTAAAATTTTCACTGAATTAAATGGTGAAGGTGAAGAAAAGCAAGGTGAGATATAAATTACCTGCACTAATCACTTTCAACTGGACCCGGACTGTCTTTCCAGTCTTACTCTACACAATCAAACAAATATTTACAACTTCAAATTAGTTTGGGTTACTCAACAGAGGGAATAAGCATTCTCTACCTTTTTATTAATTTTCATCATAAAGATAGCCTTCTTCTATTTATCTGTCTTCCTCTATGAAGCAATACTCAGGATACCATTTTCTTTATTAGTGTAATTGGTTCTTTGATAATAGCAGTGCCATAATTTACTTTGTAATTCATGCCTTTTAATGATATGTATCTTGAAAACTTGCCCAGGGGAGTAAAGAAGAATGTGAAAGAGGAAACAAGCAAGTGAAAAATATGTATACAGCTCCAAATAGATATCAATCAGTTCTCTAAAATACCTGTTGTGCAGTGACACAACCAAAAGGCCCTCTCTCCATCATAAGACAGCTAGGTGACAGATGTGCACTGGTTGGGAAAAGATCTAAACTCTTACAATGTCAAATGCAGCCCCTCCAAGACATCACTCGCTGGGTCTGAGGAGCACTCAGAGGAGCAGCCCTGTGCGATACAGACAGTCAGCTGCAGGGACACAGCCAGACACTTTCTTCCTTGTGTCTGTGGCATCCCTCTACCGCCTAACACTGCTTGCTGTGTCGCTCGCTTTTTATTCTCTGCAGAAGCATGGAACATTGCTTGACTTGCTGGGGTTCTTTCTAGCCTATGGTTTCACAGCGAATAAACACAGCTCTTCGTGCTTAAACGTGTTTGAGGCCTGGGCTGAAATCTAGATGTCAGTACAGCAGGGGGTTCGGGGAGGGGGTGGCTCGCTGCTAAGCTCATGGCAGTGCCAGGCACAATGGCTGGAAAAGGAGCCTGGGGAAGTGAATAGAAGGAAACAGCTGTGGCTGCCTCTGTTTGAAATTCTGTCTTTCCCCGCCTTCCCAGAGAAACACACTCAGACGTGGACCTACACACACACACACACACACACACACACACACACACACACCCATATGCATGATCAAAGACGTTAGGTAGCATAACGCAATCATCAGAAAGAGAATGGTATTTGGCGTGAGACAAATTATTACCCTAAACAAAATGACCTCTTTCATCACTGCTCAAAAGCTTGCTTGTATTTGGGCTAACTTTGTGGGAATGGTTTCTGATCTTGGCAAGAAGAGAAGATGGAGGACGTGGGAGGGGGGAGAAGGGAAGGCAGGGAGTACATAAAATGAGCTCTATGTACTGCCCAGAGCGCAGTACCTGGTGCCTGTAAAACCACCCGGCACAGACGGTATGAAATCCGAACCTACTCTTCAAAGCCGATTTGGTAAATATTAAACTTAAGTGCTCCTCTTTGCCCAGGGGAGAGCCAGCAGAGGATACCTGCAGCCAGCAGTGCCCTGAATTATTCAGATGAATGAAGAGCCTTTGGAAGCCTGTTCGGGTAGTGCGGGCTGAAAAGCCGAGCTCTTATTTTAGGATTTTTCTTAAACCAGCAGCATTGTGCTCAAAGAGAATATTGTAGAGTGAATACATCGGTGGGGAGAGGGCTGCGTGAGTGTGTTTGTGCGTGCGTGAGTGACTGTGAGAGTGCCCGTCCCTTTCTGCATTCCTGAGGTATCCATTTTTTCCTGTGGTTCTTTTAGTGAAGACAGGGCCAAGGTGTGGGGTGCAGTGGAAAGAGCACAGACTGTGAATCCCGGCACTGCCATTAGTAAATGTGTGGGACTCTCCCTGCGCCTAGGTTTCCACATGCATGAAAGGAAGACATTTATATGTTCCGTGCAAAGCTGCATGGAAAAAATGAATTCATTTATACCTCCCAAACAATAGCATTTGCCGCAAGCAAACAATGTCGGCTTCCTTAATCCACAATAAAAAAGCCCCAAAGTATTCTCGGTAAGTATGTTTTATATAAATGTCTGTTCTATTTTTAAGCATGACAATATCAGAGAAACCCCAAAGTCCCTCCAAGGTCAGAGTTTAATTAAAATGGATCATTTTTTACATGTAAGACTATATCACATTTTTGTCACTTCCGTATGCATGTGGCAAGTCCCGAGGGCTGTACGCTCAGACTCTTGGAGTTTAATTAAAGAGCTCTTTTTGATGATGGGGACCCTGATATATGCATCTCAGAACTTTTAAAGGTCCTGTGATGCCTACATTTAATGTCATCTAGATTTGGTTTCATTCTTTGATCCTCTGCTTGAATTGAAAAGGTGCATATTACACAAATTATCACAACTCTCATAGTTCAAATATATAGTTTAATTTACACTAAAAAATTCTGCTGAGAAACACATTAGTGATTACTGCTTCTAAACTTCTGTCCTTTAAATAAACAGAGTTTTAAAATGCTCTACTTAGGGCGAGTTTAGGAAATTTCAAATGGGTTGAGGCTAGAAATTCAGAAACTCAAACTCTTCAAGTAAAATAATAAAAGGCAAATAAAGACCCATAGATTAAGAACTGTTATTCACACTTGGAATTGGTGAGACATAAAGTCTATCTGTGCCATATGATTTAGTACTTTATCTTATAAGCAAAGTAATAAGAAAAGGTGTTATTGTCTTTGACTAGGTTGAAAAAAAAAAGGAATTAAGTTGATAAAAATAATAAATATATTTTTTAAATGTCCACTATCACACCCTATCATTTGGCTAATAAAAAGAATAAATCTCAATGGGATAGTCACCTTGCTGAAAAGGTGAGCTTTCAAGAAATTAGAATATCTATTTTATACATCCTCAGAACCTTTCATAGGAGCATATAAATATTAGATAAATAAGATGTATTTTAGAGTTACCAAAGTAATTTTTAAAAATATCCACCCAACCCTAATTTAAGGAAAGTAGCAGAAACTCTTATCTCCCATTGCTGTTTCCTGCCTCTACAGACTTTCTCAAACCTGGCTACACAGTGAAATCACCTTTGGCATATCAACAAACCTGACCCAAATTGAAGTAATTGTGCCATTTCTGGGAAATGAACCTCCTTAAATGAGAGGACATACCCTTCTTTTTCCTCTCTTCTTCTAGCTGAATGTAACATGGGACATGAGGGCTTAAGCTCGGGTAGCAGCAGTCTTGGGCCATGAATTTGACTTTGGAATGAGACCATGCACAGGGTCTGTGCCCTGGCACTATACATGTCACACTAGCCCATTAATGAACTTTTACTGGAGAGAGAAATAAAGTTCTATCCTGTTCAAACTACCATTATGCAGGTCCCCCCCCCCCGCAACCCCCCACCCTTACTCTTGGCAGATACTAGCCCTAGACATTTGTATTCAATCACACTTTCCTACCAAGTGGGTCAAATGAAGCCCTGAGTGAGGTTTATGAGGTTTAATAATTTCTTCTATCATTTTCTCTCTTTGATTTCCCACCTAGGCAACTCTTACTTGTTCTTTGACTTAGTCTTCTCCAGCCAGGTGTGCTCTCTCAATATTCTCCCACTTTTCTATATCCCAATGGCTATTTTTTTTATACTTCCTTTATTATAAGATTTTAATAATCAGTTCAAATAATAATTGAATCCTAGATGACCACCGGTTTCTGGCTTCTGATTCTATAGAGCTTTTTAAAAAAGTTTTATTTTACAATATAGATTTAGTTTTCTATGGAGCAAGGATACATATTTCTTCAAATTCCCTACAGTCCGGGTCATACATTTTATGTACTTGATAATACACATTTACCAAAAGAAGAAATTCTAAAAATGTACTTTCTCCATTTGAATTTATGTACGAACGTCACCCCTCCTTTCCTCATTATTATTAATAAATATGTGATCCTTAAGTAAAAAAATGATTAAAATATTGGTGAAAAAAAAATATATTTGTATTAGTTGAGGTGAATTGAATAACCAAAAAATACAGTATGGTGGTTTTAAAAACAGAAGCTATTTAAGAGTGACATTTTTTTTTAACATTAAATATTCCTATAGTAAATAAATTATGAAAATTTAAAAAACTAGAGTTTCCTTTATATGACTATTATAAATACTTGATGTTGATGTGAGACTTAAGGAAATTTTAACTTGGTCTTTAATTAAGAAAAATAGTTTTCTTTTTAATGCTTTTTTCCTAGAACACTTACAATGTCAGCTACTACAGCATAAACTGCTTCTTTAAAATGCATTCCTACTAAGCTATTTCTTTTAATAAATTTTAATGAGCCTGTTCTATGTATGACACCATGTTAAGCACCAGGAAAAACAAACATGTGAATAAAACAAGATGCTTGCTTTCATTTTGAACATAATTTCTACTAGAAGCAGGTGGGAGGCTGAGAAAGAACCTCTACTCAAAGGTTATCTGTTGTGTTTTAATTAATGAGTTTAACAAATTACCCTCGTCAGATGGCAGGTGTCAAAAGACAAAGCCCAGCACCTATAAGCATACTCACACATAACACAGACAAAGCAGACACAGAGGCACACTTGACTACCGATTTTACAAAAATAGCTTGTTGTTTCATAATTATAAGGCTTCCATGCAAGCACATTCCTGAATATTTAATCAACACTGATTAGCGTTCTAACAGAAACCAGAATTATGTAAGGTAAATATGATGTAACTTTTGCAAAGTTGCAAATAATAAATAAAGGATATAAAAGGCAAAATCTTACTTTTAGCCAATTCCTTGGCATCTCTATACATTAAAAAAGCAAATGGGAATCATTGAAAAAAGGAGATGTAATATCCCAAGAATTAAGTGTATTAGAATTCATTTCATTGTTATAGACTACGGATTTCCTTAAGGCAATGCTATCTACCACTTTTACTTTACTAAGACACTGCTGATCCATTACTGAGCAGCTAAAAAAAGCGATGTGGACTTACTTCGATGCTGAAGTACCCTCTGTCAACATAGTCCCCTAAGAAGAGGTAGCGAGTGTTGGCAGGAGATCCCCCCACTTCAAAGAGCTTCATCAAGTCGAAGAATTGTCCATGGATGTCCCCACAAACTGAAACAAATAAATAAATAAATTCATTTTATGGCCACATTATGTAAAGACTCTGAATTAGGTAATAAAATTTTAAAGCCAGCATGAATTTAGAGAACATCTTAGCCAGAACATTATTTTGCAAAACAGGAAAATGAGACAGAGATTCCAAAGTTCAATAGTGGCAGAACTGACTCCACCATCCACGTCTATGAATTCAAAGGTTTGCTGGAAAAAAATAAGGATAAAAATAACAACAATGGCTATTATTATGCATTTAATAATTCTGCAGCAGACACTGTGCTACAAAAGTTATACACATTTCCTAATGTAATATGAACAATGTTGTGGAATAGACATTTCCTTTGGTAGGTAAGGGATGAGGGGAAAAAAAGGTTCAGTAATTTGACATAATCTATATACAACTGCACCCTGAATGTATAACTACTACATGTTACTGTCCCCTGAAGAAAAAGAAAAGTTGATATTATTATAAAATCTGTAGCTCATAAAATCTAAAATGCCATCAATTATAGTAGAACACACTAGAGGCCTGGTGCATGAAATTCGTGCACTCAGAGGGGTCCCTCAGCCCGACCTATACCCTCTTGCAGTCCGGGAGCCCAGAGGGAGCGGGCCTAAGCCATGACCTGGACAGCTTTAGCACTTCCATGGAGGTGTGAGAGGTTCCTGCCACTGCTGCATTGCTCACCACTCATAAGGCTGGCTTCTGGCTGAGCAACACTCTCCCCGTGGGAGCACACTGACCATTAGGGGGCAGCTCCTGTGTTGAACATCTGCCCTCTCGTGGTCAGTGCACATCACAGCAACTGGTGGTTCTGCCATTCAGTCTATTTGCATATTAGCCCTTTATTATATAGGATCATTATACAAGGGAGGACAAAAGTAGGTTTGCAGCTGTGAGTACATACAATAAGATTTTATTCTTTTTTTATGTTACTTATTATTTGCTATGTATTATTTTCTTTTATTTGTTATGTATTATTTTCTGTATGAACAACTACAAACCTATTTTTGCCCATCCTGTATGATGTATCACTGAAACAGAAAAAAGATTCAATTAAATTTAAATTCTAAAGAAGCTTTTTTATAGATGAACTTCAATATTAGATATTAAAAATGAAAAAAATAGTGAAATGAAAAAAAAATTCTGTAAAACATAGTACATAAAAATCACTAGGAATATTATTCTTTTATTTTCTCACCTTCTCTTTTAAACTAAAAGTTTTGAAGGAGCTATGTGGTCTTTTTTTGAAAATCCGCTTATTTTGTATTTATTATTAGAATTAACTACTTTGAAAGTCCTTAAAAAAATTATATATTATCTCTATTATACAGATAAAACAATGTGGCTATCAGAGGCTGGGCAATGTGACTGTTACATATGGATGACCCCAGGTTTAAATTCAGATTTGCCTAATTCAAAGCATTTGCTGTTAACCACCATGTTATAACATGTTTAACATTTTGTATGTTTCATATATATATACATATTTAATATTTTAAAATAATTTTGTGATTAAATGATGAAGAGTAGTGTGGCTGTTTCTGGAACACTAAGAGATTCACAGAATGAAAGTGTCAGTGATTACAGTACCTTACCTGCCTGGCTTCTATAAGCAGTACATGTGTTAACGGAGCAAAGGGCTTGGAAGAGTTCCTGGTACCTAATGGGAACTTCATAAATGTATGCGATGCCATGCTTCCACCCCCTCCTCTGCGCCTCTGTTCTCTGGTGTCCAAAGATAGTCCAGTACAAGGGCCACCTAATGAGGTAAGCCATTTGCTTGGTTGGTATTGTCTCCAATTCCCCATGAGACCAGGGTCTTTCCTCTTCAATGTCACTTAGTTTTTATAGCACTTCTTGAACATCCAGACTTTGACAAGTTATTTTATATCTTCAAGGCAAGGCAAGTCCATTCTGCACCAACATATACCCCTACTTCCCACACTCCCAGAGCTTCCAATTATTTGCTTTTGTAGGGTTTCCCAACTAGGGGCCAGCACTAATAGAAATATGATGTCCAAAAAGCATAAAAAACAGAACCATATACAGGGAATAAAAGCACTTCCTGTTGTGGCTCCATGGTGCTGAGTGGCCTTAGGAGTGAGTGATGTCCATCGTGTCCTGTCTTCAACAGCCTGGTCAGCTTCTGAAGACTCATGCCTATGGCTTCTTTTATGGAATCAATCCACCTCGCATTAGGTTCTCCCTTTCTTGCTGCCTTCTATTTTTCCCAACATTGTTGTATTTTCCAAAGGACCCTCCCTTCTCAAGTCCAAAGATAGGGCTTAATTTGCTCTAGGACTGATTAGTTTATCTTTCTGGTAGTCCAGGTTATCCATAGAGGTCTTCGCCAACATCATATTTCAAATGAACCCATTTTTATTTCTACCAGCCTTCTTCACTGCCCAGCCCTCATATTCTTACATAGTAATTGGGAATATGAGGCTGTGAGTGATCTTAACATTGGTCTCAAATGACACATCTCTGCTCTTAGTGATCTGTCCTAAATCCTCCACTACTGTTCTTCCAAGTCACAGCCTTTCTCTTGATTTCTTGGCTACAGTCTCCATTTGAATTAACGACTGGACCAAGCTAAGCACAATCTTTAACAACTCTAGTGTCTTCACTGTCTATGTTAAAGCTGTATATTTCTTCTGCAGTCATGTTTTTTTTTTTAAGTGCATTTTCATCTCTATTTGTTTAATCCTTGTGAAGAATTTATTATCTGAAAAACTGGGCTAGACTGAGGGGAGGTAGGAGTGAAAATTGGTGGAATAGCAATAACTTAATATATGCAGATGGCACCATCTCACCAGCAAGAAGGAGCACTAATTTGAAAAAGTAGTCTGTCTCCCCACATTCTGTCCTCACTATGGCAAGTCTCACAGTACTCCTATTTTCTATGAAAAGAACCCTCCATCTGACTGAACATTCTAAAAAATACTATATGTTTTATATATTATTAACAGAGCTGTGCATATTTCCCTCAGAAATGTACAAAGTTATGGCCTGTAATGAAAGTGGCACAACAAAGATAATGAAATATAATGTAACCCCTCCCCCCACCAGATCATTGTTACCCTTATTCACCAGCCACCTCATGTGCATGAGGGCTATTTCCCCAGCAGAAGCAGTCCTCCATTTGTCTTTATCCTGGAAAAATGACAACAACTAGGTACACTGAGCAGTTGAAACCATTTGCTGAGAAGGTGGCAATGTAGTCGTTATCTCCTTGATTTTTTACCCAAATGGGTTGACCAGGTTGGTTTTGAATGAGGTAACTCTAACATCCTTCAGGCAACCAAAAGGTGCAAGAGTCACTAACATCCTACAATGCTTTCACGTTTATACCTTTCTCTATTTTACTCTCAGGATGTATACAATTTATGCCTAAATAATCCAGTAGTAAGTGATACCTATGCAGTTACTTTTGAGTAATTGCCTTTCAATATTGTTTCTCTCCCCTGAAGACTGTAGTCCACATTAAGTAAAACTTAATTGAAAATGATTCTCACACACACTGTGCCAACAACTTTTGATCTATCTTCTGAAGGAGAATACAGAATTCTAAAATAGGAAACTGAAAACAACATACAAAAAGGATTTGTCTATTTCTTAGGGAAGAGAATAGTCTGTATTTCTAATATCATTACTGGAGAGCTAGTGATTGAGCTTTGAAATCACTAAGGGGCGGACGTTTTCCGGACAACCATTTGGAAGTGCATAGTACAAAGCCGCAGCGGCTGCAAGACCTGGGGCTCAGGCAGCCATGGGCTCAGGCAACTGTAAGCCCCAGGGTTCAGGCCTCACAGCCACTGTAGCCAGCAGTGGCAGCAGCAGTGAGATGATGGAGGCGGAGCTTCCCCTGTACAGCCTGCTCACCTCCTGCAGAGGGAGGCCGGACTGCGGCTTGGGCCTGCTCCCCTAAGCCATCAGTAGGACATCCCCTGAGGGCTCCTTGAGCAGACGGACTGAGGGACTCCTCCTCGTTTAGTGCATGAATTTTCATGCACCGGGCCTCTAGTATATAAATATAAGTATATATTCGTGTGTGTGTGTGTGTGTGTGTGTGTGTGTGTGTGTGTGTGTGTATAAAGCCACCCTTTTCAAAAGAGGAATTATTTGGAGATTAGTGGTAAGTATAGCAATTAAGGAGTCATTAAACAAGTTGAAGACTTTACTCACTCTAGATTATAGCAAAGTAGTGCTAAAGAGAAACAGAAATAAACAGCTGGGCCAGTACAAGGGGCTCTTTGTAGTGAGCTGAGTAAGGCCTTGTGACAGTCAAGCTGGATAATGAGTCAGTCACAGAGCAAGTTGGAGTTTCTGAAACTAGCACACTGCTAAGTAGACAAGATACTGGCCAGCATATTGAGGACAAACAGGCCCTTCAGAAAATAATCTCAGGCTGAAGGAGGAGGAAGTGGGAGAGATAACCACAGCCAGGACCCAGTTTGCCTTCTACCTCCTGACCAACGCTGGTAACTCTCCACTGAGAAGGGCCAGGTGTTCCAAATAACAACCAAGCATACAGTGTGTGTACAATTAGCTATGTATGTCTAAATTAATGCAGTGAATCTGCAAATAATTATGTACAAATTCACATGGACAATTAAATTACATTGGAAAATATAAACACTAGATAGTATTATACACACTAAGATGGTCCCAATGTAATTGCTAAACAATTTATAGCTTTTAAAGCACTCTGATAAAGCTGTTATCCTGAGAAGACATATTTTTAAAATGTAATATTAAATATACACTTTCAGATAGAGCTATTTAAAATAGCTTTTCATTGATGTTCAGACTTACACATTGGTCCTGTTTACTTGCCTATAGAAAAAGGAAATGCATCAAAAAACATCATTGAATCCATTTATTGTTGACACTAGCAAAAACTTTACATCACAGAATTCCAGGTTAAAGAAAGCTTATACAAATACGAACACCTGGGGACAGAGGAGTAGTTGTTAAAAACAAACAAAAACTG